TTACTTTTCAATTTCAATTTCAATCTGTCAAATGAATGTCGTTCGATTGACTCTTGAAACTTTTGTAAAACGTATATGGACAATTGTACTTATGCGTATTAATAAGTTAGATATAAAGTCAAAATTTGGTTATCAAAAATATAACAATAAAGTTTCCATTGCTTCGTTAATTTTTATAAATTCTTCATAAAGTAGAGAGAATATTGACAGTCTAAAAACTAGCTTTAAAATATTTAAAAATTAATAGAGAATAGTAAAACTTTTTTTATATCAACAGGAGACGAAATAAAATCCACCCTTCAAAACTTGATCGGTTTTATACCTTCCTTAGGTTCTTGTAAGCAATAACCAAAAAAAAAAAAAAAAAAAAAAAAAAAAAACTACTGGGTGTAACATTTTGTCCAAGTAATATTATTTCTGTCAAAAATAGTTAAATATCAAGCGTTGTACTATTAGGTCCGGGATTCCAATTGACAATTGTTTCATTTATGATGAGTGATGACAAATAGTCGTGAGAAGGGAGCGGATTTGTATATGTCTACTTTATTTAAAATATTAACCTCTGGCTAAATATTGACCTATTACAGCTTACTATTGATATTTTATGACACTTTGAAGCAATTTAAAAATTAATGTTTCATAGTTACTAATCATCTTGGTCTGCCCATCCTCGCTGGTTTTTGTTGGTTTAGGGCATTTCGCCATCATCAGGGTTTGTGATTTTTGTGGAAAGAAGTTTTAGTTTCGAGGTTGGGGATGGTGTGGGGATATGTGTTGATTGCCGTTGTGTATGATGGATTAAGTCGTCGTCTTTTTTACTGTTCTAGTCGGTCTTTTTGGTCATCGGTCCGCTTTCTTTTTAATTCTAATAATGTTTTCAATGGTGTAAATGTTTGTGAGACTGTTAATTTATGTATTTATGAGTTTTATTCAGTGATGAATATGTTATGTTTGCATATTTCTAAATTTTTGAGTATGTTCATTTTTCGTCATTTTTGTACGTTGTGCAGTAGATTCATACTTGTTTGAAGTAGGTCTGTTGGACTTGGTAAAAGTCTTGGTAATTTTACTATTGTGTTTGTGGTTTATAGTGCTGTTTTTATGTCTAATTTGTTGAATAAGTAGTTAGTTTGTACGTTTGTCTCCCAATATATGTGAACGTGCTCTATTTAGTGTCTGTTTTTGTGGTGTATTGTTTTGTTTTTGTGTGCGTGTTTTGTTATTATTGTGTTGATTGGGTTTCAGTTTTAGCCGTTTTGTGTACTATGATTTGTATTCTTTTCTTTAACCCTTTTTCGTACTTGTCTGTTTAGTGGGATTGATTTTAGTCTGTCTGTCATGCATCTCAGTGCTGGCTGCTATTTTGTGTCTAAGTGGGTAATTTGAGTCGGTTCGTATGATGTCAGTTGCTGTAAGTTTTCTGTGTATGTCAAATTGTAGTTTGTCTTCTGTTTTTGTGATTGTTAAGTCTATAAAGTTTTACCCCTCCCAGACCACAAGATTTAAAACTTTAATGTTAAACAATTTCACATATTTTGAGGTCAATTAATTTTTTTACAAATTTCCTTCATTCTACATATTTTCATCATATATTTTATCACATACTATGGAATTTTTAACAATTATTTAACCATTTTAATTAGGGATTTGAATGAAAGTGTGACGTAAAAGTAAAATCGACGTTTTTTGTTTTTGCTTTAGAAGCAACGATCCAAGAATTGGGGTCGAAACATCGTTAAAAGTAAAAAGAAGTAAGAAAAATATTTACAAAAGACAGAGTTATGCTGAAGGAAGTTCATGGCTGATCGTGTAACGTTTAGCTGTACCCCACATTTCCAGTCCGTAAGTCCATATCGGCTTAACTATTATGCATGAAAAGCAGCCTTTTATTTTTGTCAAAAATTCGCGCAAATTATCTTTTATCATGTCATAACTTCTTGATTCGTGTGTGAGGATTCCACGTCGTTTAATGAATAGTTTCTATGAATAGTCCGAAGTACCGCACCTTGTCCGCAACTGGAAGGGAAATATTATTAAGTAGACTGTAGGGGAGATCGTTTTTCGGAATATGAAAAGGTGGATTTGTCTGTTAGTAGTGTGAGGTGTTGAAGGTTTCGAGTGAAAATGACAGGATCGTTGTTACTAGAGATGATCGCTGTATCGTCTGCAAATGAGGGTGTGGTGGCTTGAGGATGTGAAGGAATGTCATCTATGTTAACCTGGTCTGTGGCGATCAGAACACTATCCTGAGGAACGCCAGTATTTGATTTGATGATAAAAAAAAGTTAATGTTCAGCATTGAAGATATCGGTCGCACTTTTTTCTCAGTCGTCGCTGGCCCATAGGTGGTGGTTGGTTACTGGGGTGGCTTATTTTATAGTTACGTGTCATCATCGGGAGGATTCTCTTACGACCACCATTAAGAGTGTACATCCCAATCTCCATGTACTATGGGACACCTTTTATCTCAAAACCCAGTTTTGTATGATTTTAATTTGAGATGGAGAAGCAGACCCCCTCCCTTCAATTTGACACCCATTAGATTGGGCGTCACCTTGTGAGTGGTGTGAAAAATTTGATTTGGCCATAATTAAGAATTTTAATTGTTTAATGCGGTAATGTAAATTGATATTAACGTATTAACTTAGTTTATGATCGTCACATCACCGTCAAATTGTGCAGTTGGGTTGTTTTCTAAAGCAGGGTAGACAGAGGAATAGAGTAGATAAAATAATGGACTGTGCCCTGAGGCACACCAGCCTTTATGATGGTCCTATTGTCCTATCATGGACCAGAAATATCCCAATTTTACGGCAAACGTACGTTTTGATAAGCAAGATTATATGGCCCTACAGAACGTCTGTTTTTTTGTTTTTTGTTTTTTTAATTAGCTGGGAAGCCTCGTTTCAAACACGGTCAAATGCTTGGTCTGTGTTCAAACATAAGGTCTGGTATACTATATTATTCATTTTTAATCGAGTCCAAGGTTCTATCAGCCACTGTGGAGCAAGTATTAGATCTTTAAATTACCAAAGTAAGAGCGGAATAAATAGTAGCTCAAAGGCGATAACTGTATGCTATATTTTTTGTTTTGCCTGGTTTATGATCTATGATTATTATTACATGTATCCAATTTTTTGGAAAATAGATAAGCCGTAAAACATAGGCTTTTCTTAAAGCATTATAAAGCTTTTGTTCGAAGATCTCTTGACAGATTTTTAACTTACACTGCGCGAGAATAATGTTGTGTAGGGATTTTTTTATGGGTTTTATGACTGGTAATGACCTGTATTTTGTTGTACTCTGATGGGAACTTCAACACCATATTTTTTTTCTGAAAATAACGCAGATTATCTTCTGGTCTTTGTTCTATCAGAGACTAAACAAAATCGGTTTTAATCTAGATTCGGTGGTACACTTCAAAATTAGTCGATGTACGAAAATAGCCGTCCTTCGATCCGGAAAGAATTACGAACGCAAGCCCAACGCTTTCTTAGAACCGCCCAGTAAGGAATTTCGATTATCAAATCTGTAGTATCTACTATCTAGACATATGAGCAGGCAAGTTCCCGAAAGATTTTCCCCCCTTTTCTTGACCCAACAACAGTAGAATTTAAAACTCGACAGCATCCACAATACGAATTTAAAGCCATAAATATTTGAATCGGAATGACAAAATTTTCCACTTACACAAAGAATGTGAATGCACGTCCTGAACTCACGTACATCACAAAGATCTGGCTTCATTTGGCAAGTGAAGTTTACAAGTTTAATATAAAAGCACGCTTAGTAGATTTCAAGGGAGAATCAAGTCTTTGAATTATTTCAGACGGTTCAAGACAAATGCATGTCGACGAAAAAATCATGCGAGGGCATTAAAATATCTTCACGCTTCAGCTCCCACTATCCTAAATTCCTAGGCTACGTGTCTTTTTCTCTGCCGCTGTGTACACACTAACATACTGTTGACAGCATTAATTTCCATTTTTCGTCTTATTTACCACGAACTTTACTTCAAAGTGTAAAGCTGAGTTTGAATTAGTTTTATATAAGCTCAAATACGCACATGTACATACACACATATACAAAATTGAGCCTATCACTTCTCGCAGTCTCCGGCAGTTCCAGCTTTTGTAATTTACAATAAATCGAGTATCACCCACCCTAGGTGTTGGTAGACTGGGATCAGAGCTCGGACTTATCCGTCCAGCACCGAGGTTGGGCTCCGGATGCTGCCAACAGCTAGATTAACCCAAGCATTCAATACCTAGATCCAAACCCATTCACACTCTCATTCATTCGTAATTTTTTCTTTCTTATTTACGTACCATTCACTCAGTTGTGCGGTGGAGAATCGATATTCCTCCATTACCTTTTACAGCTATTACATAACTACCCTAATTACGGGCTGATTGGGGTACTCAATTGTCCACCATCGGCTGTCTATTCATGCTCATAAATACATTCACTCTCAAACACATCCTACTGACACAAAACTATCGGTACTATACACAATAAAACAACCCTGTTTGTTCCAAGAATCGGAAAAGGGGGCGTAGATACTCGCTGCTCAAGCACAATTCTCATATCGGTTGGCACTCCTACGCGCTCTCTGTACGGAGCCAAGGAATCGTGCCCCTCAATCAGGCGGTACACATCGAACAACCTTTCTCTGCAGGCTGTGTGACAAATAGCGGGCTTTGGCCCAAAAGTAAGTGTGTCGCATGGCCTATTCTTAATCGGCTGATGACTATTTCCTACGAGGAGATCGTCCGAGGGTCACCTATCGACAGTGCTCTTAATACGCAAGAGTTTCTTCGATTTGGCCCACCGACGCTGCCACTTTTTTAAAATAATGTTTTATTGCATTTTTATCGTCGGAGGGCCGGATCGCGGTGCTTTAGTCCGGAGGTTGGGACGTCCCGGACCTAGCTGCCTCGTCCGCTATTTAGAGCTGAATTTGAATTGGTAATGCTAATTGTTTGCTTGTTTGGTTTCAGAGCTCTTCCTGTCCTCTCTTGTTTTAACAAGGTAAGCGAGTTAAATATAGTAGAATATAAGACTAATTATAACTTTTCTCATAAAAAAGAAATTGTATATTCAATTATTAGTTCAAAATTCTATTACCTACTGCCTATTCTATCGAAACGAAGATGAAATGTTATAAATAAACCAATCGATTTTGCTTTGAAAAATTGACAAGGCGGTGGACATATTTAAAAAAGTGAGCGAAAAACTGTATAAACCGCTTGTGGGATTGCTAAAACATATTCGTTTAATTGTTCGTTGGACGTGTTAATTGCACGTGTTATGTAATTTTTCTTGTTCTAAGAAATCGCTCGGAAAAGGTCGTGACTATTTTTCAAAGGACGAACCTATTCCCAGCAGATGTTGTATAAATAATAAACAACTAAGATTTATAAAATAGTTATTAATTAATTATCTTTTATATTCTATTTATTCATATTTTTTTTATAATTTTTTGATATTAATAATTTGGACTTTTGTTTAGAAGATAACTTAATTGTTTATTGATTGATAGTTGTGATTGTTCACACGTATGGTAATAGTCGTTTCTTCTTCTATTACTTCCTTTTTTGTGCATAGTTTGTCATGTTTCTCATTCATTAGCGTCGATTCCTATTCAAAATCTTCCGGTAGTACCGATTGTTTACAGAAATGATCGGTTTGATCTGTCTTTTATCTACAATCAGATGCAGACATCACGGGACATCCTGCCGTTATTCATTACAGGGATCAGACAACAGGAAGAACGTCGAGGAGCACGGAAATAATTTATATTCCGAATATGAAACTACAACGTCCACTGCTTCATATGAGTCAATGTCAAGGTTTCCTTTTTATTAGCACACGTGATAAATATGTAACATATATAATACCAGCAAAATCGGTCCGTGCTTGTCGTCCCTAATTTGTGAGAATGCTTTAAAATAATGACCCAGTTGCCATGGAAGAAAATATTTTAACGGTTTACGCTTTCTTGCAGTGGGTGCACGGAATAATAGAAAATCCCACAGCGACGTTCAAATCACTGGATCGCGACCGTGGGAGGATTCCAACGTCGAAGCCGCAAACTGCGACCATTGTTCCATAGAGAAAAAAATTAAACCGCAAATGAAACGATCTGTCTTCTATGAAATATTCCATGATTCAATTGTGAACTGGTTTGCTTAATTAAATCATATAAATAAATCCCGTCCAACTCCACCTGTGTGACAGTTCTGTCACCAAAGATGTAAGACATTTTTGGTGACAATTCTGCCACCAAATGTGTAAGACTATTTTTGAAAAGGTTGCACGTTCGCATTTTACATCTTGTAATAAATAATTGGTGCCTGTGTGAACAACTGTTGAATTGGTACTAGTTAATCGGTCCATCTTCAGTTAGGAGTTGAAATAAGTGAAAAGTAAGGGAGCATCTAGTTTAATCATTTTTATTAATAAATTTGGGGTTGTTTCGTAGTAGTTATGATATATTTCTAAAATAAATATAAAAAAATAAATCAATAAAAGAATATTAATGAAATATATTTATCAAAAAGGAACTTAATATTTATTAAATTCCTTATTGGATTTTCAGTTACATACTGGTTCAATTATTTAATTCATTTCCTTACAATAAAAGAAGCTGCTTATGATAAATATAAATCATGTGATAAATGGATTTTGTTATCTCTTAATAGAAAGAAAACTGATTAATATTCTCAGAATTTTCTAACAAATTTATATTTAACTTTCATTGACTTATTAATTGTTTGATATGAAACAATCAAATATTTGTAAAACATTACAATTAATTAAGGTTTTAAGTTGAGATGAAAAAAAGTTAATGGCACGAGCGGGATTCGAACCCATGATCTTCGGTGGGTTCGAATCCCACTCGTGCCATTAACTTTTTGTCATCTCAACTAAAAACCTTAATTAATTGTAATGATTTAATTGGTCAAGCGGACCATGAAATTAGTGAATATTTGTAAAACGTTGCGTTTTTGATTTTAGGTTTCCAATTACAGGTAATGTTTTGAATCGAAATATTTTTCATGGCTTTGTTCATAAGGTACAGCAAGCTCACCTCTAAGGACATATTTAAGAGGGAGTGAGAGGGTGAATGGATTTAGGATTGTTCTGGGTGCTGAAATGACTTACCTATTGATAACCCCCAGAGCCCTCGGTAGCTGGTCGGATAAAACCAGGTCTGACCCCCGGAGTGTCAACATTTGGGGGGGGGATTCTCGAGGCCTGCTGGTAATTTATTGCAAACTACAAAAGCTGGAATGCCGGTGGACTGCAAGAGGTGATAGTCTCAATTCTGTACATGTGCAGATTTGAGCTTCTCTAAACCAGTAATCAGTAATATACAATTAATATTAATCCTGACTCTCGCCAATATGTTTGAATGGTAAATATTTTTAAAACCATTGTACCACACATAATATTGGAATATATAATTAGTGAACTAATTGAATCTAAGATGCAAATATGTACTTAAAGGAAAAAACTGGACTGGAGTATTTTGTTGTTTATTTCAAACTATAATTTATATATTTTGTATGTTAGGGAGACCCAATACTCACAGACTGCGCCAATTAACTAAAATTTTGGTTCGTCAAAAGGGCCTTATATACTTAACACCTTCCTCAAGCCCTATATGTGCATTACAGGTCCTACCAAATTAAACTATTTCATAAATTTTGCTAAACCTGATTTTATTGGGGACAATTTCAACGTAATCCATTATAATGCTCGACTGCATGTAGTTCAAATTGACCCATTACTTGGAGAATGCAGTAAATTGTCCAGTGCATTCTCCTGACATAGAACACTTACAGGACAGGATAAAGAGACGGGTTAGACATTGTTCGCCGCCTGCAACAAGCGTTGAACACCTTCAAACAGCTCTTGTTGAAGAATGGGATTCTTTTTCACAAGACGAAATCCTACCAATTATTTACTCAATGCCTAGGAGATTTATGGACAGAGGATGTCATGTGCATTATTTAGAGCAAAACCAGGTAATAAATTATTAGTTAAATTTTACTCTAACACGAAATGATTTTTGGGTGTTTTGGAGAATTTTCTTTCAAACTGTCATAATTAAATAATTTTTATTAAAACTCATGAATTTCTGATCTTGTCTAATTTGGTTTACATTAAAAATAAGTATGTTCTACTTAATAAAACGATAAAAATATATTAAGTTTAAAATAAATAATAAAATATGAGTGTCTTTTTTTTGTCTTTGAGTGCATATTTTTAATTTTTTAAGGTGCATATCCTCATTAACGATGGTTAAAGGTTTTGAAGTCAGTATCCAAAGTTCAATCAGTAGATGTTCTACCATTCCTAGATGCAGACTTTTTTCAGTATTTTGTCATTTTCAACATTGACGATAGATTTTTTTTAAAATGAAAAGTTAAGTGTTGACTGTCAATCAATGGTTACCATTGTGAAGTTAAAAAAATATATGTGCAATAGATGGTTAGATATATAAATATATGTATTAGTCGGGGTGTATATTATTCTGAGCCCTTTAAGAGCTGCTGTATCCCCCGTTTTGTGCTTAAAGCACACTGGTACGTCCTAGTTAATAAAGGAACTGAATACATATATGTAAAATTAATATAGTGCAGAGTAAAATCTCAGAACTTGAAAAGTAGAATGGCCTGCTCCCTAGCGACCGGCTGGAGTAGAGCTTAGTTCAACAGAGCACCCATTGAAGGCGGGCGTTGCAGGCCAATTGCAGTTTTTATCTAAAATGTACAACCAAAAGGCAAAAGAAACGTTCATGAAATTTTCTAGAGCATGAACTTGTTTAAATTACATTCCATTATGATTGATTGATTCACTTGTGTTCTGGATATAATAAATAATCAAAAATAGATTAATTTTCATAATAAATTGTTATGGCCCAAAATTCGCCAGGGTGTAACTGGAGTGCTAGCTGCTCGAAGAAGAAGGGGTAGGAGAATAATAAGAAAACAGGAATATCGGTTAGATGCAAAAATTAATTAATTAATTAAAAAAATAAGTTGGGCGCTGCGGTATTATTTGGTGAAGGGTCAGGGAATACTGAAAAAAATGAGTTAGCTGGATTTCATTGAACCACCCATGTTCAGATCTGTAGGGATAACCACTGTACTATTGGCAAGTTCAAGACTAAGTGGCTTCCAACCAACTCACGCGATCCCGTTTGGATTCACAATTAACAAAATGGGGGCCCCTCCGGCTCGCTCTGTTCGGCCAGTAAAACAATACAAATCGTAATGATTGTTCCTCACCTGAACGCTCACAACTTGTCAACCTCACAAAGTCACCTCTAGGAACCTCATTTAAATCAAGGTTAAAAAAATCTATTTTACAATCTACATTAAACAAAATAAAACTTTATGCTGTACAACAAAAAAAAAGTCTTAATCCCGCAAAAGTATAAAAACAAGAATGTAGCCTTATGTTGATGCATTCTAAACCAATTAAATAATGAAATAATATAAACTAAAAGAGAAAGTTTAGTAACCAGTTAAGTAAACTCACCAAGTAGGATGTTGTCCATCCACCGGGAAGCAGCTTCCTTCGGGTAACAGCTCCTCCAGGGAGACAGATCCTGTGAACCGTAATATTATTAGTTAGTTTTTTTTTTTTCTATTTGTCACTTACACCTTTTGTCTATCTTTGATGTACTACACAACAACAAGATAACAACAAACAAGCATAAATATCTGTTATGAAAAACATATTTGTACAAATGATTTAACACTGTTTTCATAATGTGAAATTAATGATGCATTAAATTGTCTTGATAATGACTCTAAATAGGTCAAAAGCTTGATAGTAATAACAGAATTTTTTTTCTTCAAGACCTTGATCCAGAGTGTTCGTGAGAGCTCACTTGACGTAAAAGTCATTTTTACAAATATTTAAATGTATAGACATTTAAAGACAAGCAAAAAATTCCACCCAATTGATTTTTTTTTAATTTTTTTTTTTTTATAAAAGAAAATTCTGCCCTTTATTTGTCTCATTATTTTTACCAATAAATATTTGTTTATGCTATGTTTTAAATTGGGAATATCAATTAGAGGTAAACAGACTTAATCCTTAATCCAAAACAAGGATAAAAGATTTTTCAAGTTTACTTTTTATGGTTTTATGGTTATTAAAAAGGTTTATTCAGTCTCATTTGAATTTTGAAGCAATAAATTGTTTAGTTTTCATCTTTGTTTTCTTATTTTCAATTTTTAAACCTAAAAATGCCACTTAGTGCTGAGGATGTTGTGTGTGGTGTGGCACTTATTGATGATGGACGTTCCATCAGGTATGCGGCTATTGCCATCAGAGTTCCCTAGGAAAATCTGTGAGACGCAGTTAGATGTTTTCCAGAAACTGTATCCTGATTTTGGACGCCTTAGGTTTCAGAACCACAGGATGACTGTTTTTTGACTTTGAGAATTTTGTGAAATCAACACCTTACTGTTGTTCAAGCAATTCTTCAGCTCCAGGAAGTTCGAGGTCTCCAAATTTCTAAACACATAGCTCGAAGAAGATTAAATCAGTATGGACTGATGGCTTTTCGCTGGTAAGAAGACCAGAATTGGCCAGAACATACAGAATTGCACGACTCGCATTTGCTTGAGAACACCGTCATTGGTCTTTGGACTGTTGTACTTTTTACAAGAGTGTAGATTTGCTCTTCAATCTCCAGAAGGGCGTGAAAGAGTGTGGAGAAGGTGAAATGAAAGGTAGGAAGCCTGTAATTTTTCCCAGAGCCAACCTTTTCAATGTAGCTCGGTGATGGTGTGGGCGGGAATTTCAATGGAGAGTCGTGCATAGTTGGTTGTTGTTTGTGAAGGGTCTTACGGCCACTCGCTATGTGGATGAAATTTTAGAACATCATGCATTCCTTATCCTTGATGAAATCAGCGACAATCCTATTCTAATGCATGATAATGCCCGCCCACATATTGTTCACATAGTACAAACCAGAGAATGGGGTTATTCGAATAAATCGTTATCTAGATAACTTGAACAGATGATTTTTTTATTCAATTATCTTCTGTGAAGATGATTGTCATTTAGATAACGCATCACCTAGATGACACATTATCTAGATAATGCATTATTTGTGAAACGTGCGGATGACCGTTTATTCGAATAAAGTGTTATCTAGATAATGGGAAATAACAGATCACTGGCAGGGTATAGATGGATCCATAATTCAGTTTCATTTTACTTCCATGGATTTTGCTTCTACTCAGGCTGTTAGTGGATGAAATCGGCTATATAGTGTTGCAATATTTGAGATAGAATAGACATTGAAGATAGTACAAACACTGTAGTAAGTGCAAACCTATCCACTGCGAAGTGAGAGTAAATCATATACTTCAGCTTTCGTACAGGTTGTTACTTATGTACTATTCGATCAGATAAACAGATGTTTGGCTAAATAAGTTTTATCGTTAATGGTCAACTTTTCCGGGTCTAAAACCAAGCAACAACCTTAATCCTTTCATGTTGTAACTAGCAGGAAGCTACTTCCTTAAAAATAGCCAGTATGTACAAATGTCAACACCGTTAGCGATAATTAACCTAGTATACAAACCAAAGTTCATGCTCATACCTACTGGAATTAAAATAATTCCTTTCTCATTGTATATCAACTTTTGTAAGAAACAGAGAGAAGGGGGGAAGGATTAATTAGACGGAAAAACTATATCAGCTACAGCAACACGAATGATGTGCAATACAAACAAAGCGTACTACTCACTTGAATGAAGTAAAGTTATCTATGCCACGAATAACGGATGATTTTTCATCTAGATGATTTCTCAAGTAGATGATTCGTCATCCATGGCTGGGCAGATAATTTTGTATTCGTTATTTGGGGACGGGCACGCATTATCAGATCAAAAATTATCTACAAAACTTTCGGATGATTGGCGCGAATGAAAAATTATCCGTTATTCATTATTCGAATGAAAACCCCCCTAGTCTGGTACAAACGCACCTTCAACAGCATAACATCAGGGCCTTTAACCTGGCCAGCCCGTTCTCCTGACTTGAACCTCATAAGCCTATCAAACATTTATGGGATAACCTCAAAAGATGAATAAAGCACGTCCATCATGCTTCCTGACACACTCCGCGATCTTGAAAGGTCTTTGTGAAGAATGGGGCTCCAGCCCCTTCCAAGACATTTCCAGACTGGCAGAAAGTATGCCGGGCCGTCTTTGAGATGTAAGTAAGCAATAGGAGGAAAATACGCGACATCGAAATGTTAATTAAAAACCTAATTAAAACAAATTTTATCTGTCTTTTTTTCACTTTCCTTAGCAATTTACTTTTTTTAAAAACGTTTTTAGACAATTATAAACATTAAAAAAACGCGAAACTGGTTAACATACAAAAATATATAAAAATCAAGTTATATTACAAGTGGGTGGAATTTTTTACCTGTCAGTGTATAATTTGCAAATAAACTCTAAATCATGAAGTATTAATGCTCGAAGTTGCGATCCTGTTTGTTGAATTGTTTCATTTATCCTGTAGACACACACACCCGAACAGTTATAAAAACCTAAATAATTCCGCTTTTAGAATTTTTCGACTTTTCTAGTGGGCCGTGGGGTGTGCGGTATAAGTAATTTTATTTGTATCGTCGTATAGATATACTATTTTATTTATGCATTTATATTTCAACAGATGTTTTACTCATTTTGTGAAAAATATTTATTTTTAATTATTTTTATTTGTTTATTTTTTAATACAATAATAAAACTTTTGAAAGCTGAAATGTATCGATATGTAGGTGGCATCGGAACATCCCTCCTCTTTCCTTGCATACCGGGAAAAAAAATCCTCTTACCGCCGAGAAGTGTCGCTTTCTGCTGATGGTCCCTCATTCCCGCCGGGTAAAAACTTTACCGTTAAATTTTTTTTAAATTCTTACAACTGGAATTACGAAAGAAGAAAAAACTCATTATTTTACGTGGATCTCCGTTCACGCAGACACAGGCAAGGAACTATTAAGGAAAAACTATTATTATGTTTATTTTTCTATTTATTTTAACATTTAACGAAATAAAAAAGTAATCCAATATAAATTCTATATAATATATAAATGATATAAAACTTTTTGTCATTTTTCTCTATTTAGTCTTATCTTTTGTTAATATTAAGTTCTAGTTTCAATTCATTACAATCAACTCTATTTGTGTCAGTATTGAACCAAGGTTAAAATAAGTTGGTGCATCGGTTTATGTTTCACATTGACAGGTTTTATCTGTTGATAATGACATGTGGACAATTTTAACCTCAATAAGGACAATTAAACTTTTAAATCAAAACTACCAGAAGATTTGCGCATCGAGTCGACCATGAACTCTGGTCCACAGTTTGAGGTAGTAATTCCATGCTAACAAAAATGCCAAGGAAATGTATGAAAGAATAATTTTGAACTTAAATGTGTAACAAATTTGTCATCAATGAAATTGATATCTGAATTTCTTTCTAATGAAGTTTGGTCATTTTTGTCTGCCTAACCTTGCTTTCAGATGCGTTTCAGCTCTGCTATGACAATAGGTGGACCAAAATGATCAGAATATGCAGACCTTTACATGAAATCTCAGTTTCTAAACTTAACAAAAATAACGAGCAAATTTTTTTCAACATGATAGACTGTTGCACTTACTACTAATATAAATTTAAATTAACAGAAAGAAAGATAGTTTTTGTCGTTGAGTATGGCAGCAAGTATTTGGGTCCCCGGTTCTGATACTTGGAATAAATGGGGTTGTTCTTTTGTATTTAGTAATAATAGTAGTGTATACCCAGCTTGTGTTGAAAGTGAATGCATTTATTAGCAAAAAAGTGAATGTCTGATGTGTGAGGGTTGATGGCAATATCAAGTACTTCATCGATCCTCAGTTAGTTAATTGTATAATATGTGTAATGGTATAATATGTATAGAGAGTGAATGCGTGAGAGGGTCGATGGGGGAATATCGAGTACCCCATCGCCAGAATCGAATGAATGGTATGTAAATAGGAATGAACATGAGTACAAATGGGTTTGGAACTGCATGCGTTTGGTACTGAATTGACAGCACCTGGAACCCAACCTCAGTGGCTGGACTGATAAGACTGAGATCTGACCCCCACCCATCGAGTCTGCCAGCAGTTTACTATAAACAGCATAAGCTGGAATTGCCGGTGGACTATGAGAAGCAAGCTCATGTACATACACATGGGGATTTGAGCTTATATAAATCCAAATCTTAGTTCTTGTCAGTTATGACTTGTTAAAGATATTCTTTCAATGGATGAGCCTGTACACTTTTTTAACGGATTGAACATTTGCTTTTAACCAATAGTTTTATCACCATAACATTGATATCATGAAGTTTCCAGCAAATACTACAAATTTAAATCAAATTTAGAATTGTAGGGTAATTTATCTTGAAATATGAATTATATTAGGCCGAGGAATGGAAACAGATGTAGACGGCTTGCCCTTTGTGAGTTATTATACATGTGTACACCACTCTGTATCTGTAGCACACCAGCAAGTCCCACTTCATCAATAAATTTACTATTAGGCTTGATTTTTCAGAAACATTTTCTCCTGTGGATAAGTGTAGCACCACAGTCTAACAGGTGCATTGGGGTCTTTTCTTCTTATTCATTCCGCACATGCCCCATTATTATTAGGATTCAAAGTTTCTTCTTTCTGAATTTTTTTTACAAATCTCACCAGGTGGTTTTAAGATTGTTTGTGCCCAATGAGTGAATTCCATTATTTCCTCAATTTCATAATGTCTTCTTTTCTATGAAGCCCATTTCATATCACAAAATTGTTTCAGGACCTGCCAGCAGAGTGATAAACTTAATTTAGCTGATTCTAATTATTTATTACAATATTGAACTTACTTGCTGGCTTTATTTTCACTTAAATTTTTTAGCTAATTAATTTAACAACTAATTAAGCTATTAATAAAGGTTCTAAATGAATTACAAACAGATAGTCTATAGAAAGGACAATCTTCTTGATTATAGACATACTTTGTATTTTATAAGTTGTGTTATATTACGTTTATCGCTTCAAATTGAAAAATGTCAAAGATGCAACACTAAAAGTATATGGCCAAAATCAAATCACAATCATGTTTCCTCACAAATTGCAAAACCAAACTAAACAGATTAGATGCATAAAACAAGATTACACTATATTGCAATTAGTGTGCAGGTCCCAAGACATGAAGGTGTAGAAGAAAACAAAGAACGGATGCCATTGCTAGGAAAGTTGTTACACTGCTGATAGGTCGTAAAACTTTATGTGGTAAAGGATCCATATATCGATGAGCATCTTAGGCTAAGAAAATAATATTCACACACTGAACATAAACAATCCTGACAAAATTTGGAAACAAAGAACAAGATGCTCTTGAGTACAGAAGCAAAAAGAGCATCCTTCTTCAGTGAGGAACTGAATTTGGTTAAGAGTAAATGATCCAATGATGGTTCAACATGTGTACACTGACTATCAGACCAACACTCACAATCAACTTTCATTAGATGGTATACAATGGTGGACAAAATTAATGCACCACCCTTAAATTTGAATGATTTTAGGTTTATTCATATGCATATAGGTTTATGCATACCAAAAATAGGTTTGGTTGTAAAAATTTTAAAAAGAAAATTTTTATTACCTAATTATAAAAAAAATTATTGAGTTAAAAAAATAAATAAAATTCAAAAACATACAAAAATGGTTAAAAAAATTAACTTTTTTGATCCCTTTGTGTGTGGGGACACGTTCTTTAGGTATGTCTTGTAAGTACCTCTGTAAAGTTAGTGATCTTCTGTGCACAACAACCAATTTATATACCACCCTAGAACATCAGTGACTCACTTTGGAATGCCACCTTAGGAACCATACAGAATAGAGCAAACCTTTCTCCTCTCTCATCTCTAAATGAATTTATGCTCATCTGAAGATTTGAGGCCAACTCTCACCTCATCTGTAAATAGAACTCACCCCAATCTTCCAAATGTCCAATTCACATATTCCCTTGTGAATTGAAGCCTGGCCATTTTCGGACTTTGGTAAGAAGAGGTCCATGTGCTGGGTGCCAGGCCGGAGGTTATTTTCATGGAGCCTTCTTCTTATAGCCCTCGAGGAAATCAAAACATTTCGGATTTGTCATAACAAATTTTTTTATGTCATTTCCTGTAATCCTGCGGTTTTGAAGAGCCTGAAGTCGCTCTGGCCTGTAGGCTTAGGCGGCCTGTGTTGGCCTCTTAGTGTCTCCTGTTTCTCTGAAGCGCTGAAGAAACCCCTCCTATGGTAGAGTGATTTAAGTTCAGTCTCATGGTGACTTCACGCTCTTTCTTCCTTCCTCCTACATTTCATCCTTTCTGTAATAATGCTATGACCCTGATACTGTCATATTCCCTCAAATGCCTGACTGGAGCCAGTGAAAAAGGTTTAAGAAAAAGAGTAATATCAAATGAAATCATTAAAGGAAAACAAGTAACTTAAAAGCAAGCCATCTTTAGGCGTAGCAGAATAGAAGGTCATAATGCTACTTTTTGTTCAAATGGGATTGATTAGTTCAAAAACATTATTTATTGTTTATTTTTACTATGATAGCTCCTAATTATATCCTAATAATGTAGAAAGATAATGGATTTAATTGCAAACTAAATAAATTGTGTGGCGCATTAAATTTGTCCATCAGATTATACTAAATAATAACACTTAGAAGTTCTTATTATCACCTAATCTCACTAAAAGTCTCGGTCTTCGATTGGGACAAGTAAGTGTAGAAAAAACATAGTTGGCTGTCCTAACTACCCAACATCCTATTAAATAAATATAGAAAAACATTTCAATTTCCAGATTCTTGCACTGTCTATCCTGCCTTATGGTCATAAAGAGACAGTAATTCCTAAATTATTTTTCCTCTAAATTATTATTTCCTCTTGACTTAGAGTGAAGGCGTTGTTGTTGGATCTTATGTTTTTAATAATTTTATGTTATTTAATGTTTTGCTCGATAATTGTAAACCTATAGATTACTGACTGCTGTAAATGTATAAAAATATATATTGAGGTAAGGACTATTAGGATAGTGTGTGTGTGTGTGTGTGTGTGTGTGTGTGTGTGTGTGTGTGTGTGTGATGGTGAAATGTTACTTTTGTGATGATTTTGATGTGTTATGCTCAATGGTTGTAAAAGTAAAGACACTAAATTGTCAATATTTGTGTTGGTTCAATTATT